TACTCTCTACTCAACACTCTGATAAAGACTAGTATAAAAAACAGTGAGATAGAGACTAGATTATCAATCTTCTGTGAATCTCATTAAAAATGACATTTATCAACCACAGCTTAAAAATGAGCATTATCACACATTAACTTCAGGGTTGAAATGCCCAATTCATAAACATTTATTTTAAGGTAAATGCTATCAGACGCAAGCTGACTAGAATTTTGACTAATGAAATAAAAAATTCCTGAACAAACACTTCTGGAGTGAAAAGAGACATTACAACAAAGTATATGTCTAAGTTAATTCGTCCCTAGATCAGAAACTTACATTATGAGAAGTTAAATGTAAATAATGATAATAATTTGTTCTGAGTTTATTTGTCTTAATTTAGCTCTTGGATGAAAGTATCCAATACCTGATATACCTGAGCATGTTATTTACACACTTATTTCATTTTTGGTGTTTGGATTCTTAATGTTAATAAAATAAAATAACAATATAGTAAAGCCCTTTTAACCTATAATCAGGGTTTTTGGAAGTCAAAGAAATAATACCTTAAATTTCGTAGTATTTATCATACTTATTTTACATTCCTTATATCATATAACTGCCATATTCTTTTTACATTTTTCTTTAGTTCTTAGACTGACAAGAAGGATTTGAATTGTGAATTAATTTCATCTTGGAATTCCTGACCAAGTGGTTTCCTTACAGTTTTGTTTGTCCTTTGACAAATTTGGGTTCATAGCTTATACTTTCTGATTCTCAAAGAATATAGTAAATTATTTTGACAGGGTTATTAACACTTCTAGCTTAAATTCTATATGATGACAGAATTTTGTTCTAACAAGTTCCCAAAACATACTTAGAACTGGAGGAGTGAGAAAATTAATTTTCTATAAGCACTAAGAATCTATTCTGAGGACTATGTGAATGATTTTGTCACTAATAATTGGACAAATAATGTAACAAAAATAGTGCATTCAAGAGGCCAGAAAAATGAGTCAGCAGCAAGATGTTCACGCTACAGCTATTTTGTGTGTCAGTGGTGAATATCTCTAAACTTCAGCTAATGTAATAAATCATTTGAAATAATTTCTCTCTTTCTTTACCAACTTAGATTTGTTCTTTCAAGGTTCTTATTTACATGCAGTTTAGTATGGCTAGATACTGTATAGGAAGGTAGGGAATTAATCATAAACACAAGAAATCATGTTGAGTACTTATGTTATACAGGCCTGTTCCCAGGAATTTATATTTATTATTTCTTTTAATCTTCACAATAGGAGAAGGTAGCAGTAATAGTTATAGTAGTAGTAATAACTTCACTTTATAGAGTCGGAAACCAGGTTAAAAAGAGCAAGAACTAGGACATCTAATAAATACTTCACAGGACGTCACTCTGCAGCTACCCTGACCTGCAAGGCAGCTTCCAGAAGTATTGCCTGGGTTACAAAAGAACTGAAAGATTCCAGTGAAAAATACATGACAGTTGAAATACATGGCATTTATAGCGGGGTGGAAAGTCTATAAAGGAAAGTGATTTTTAAGAAGATACATCAAGATTTATCCCAGTGTCCCAGAATACTGCTTTCCTTATCTGCTGCTTATATAAATGAACCACTTCCTTCTTGGCCTGTAGTGCATGAAATAGTATTTTAGTATTTTATCATTGTCTACTTATCTACTAAGTGATTAGTTTTTCACTTATGTCCATAAATTTGATACCAGTTTAATCATAATAAAGCAGTAACTTTTGTTACCTATGTATTTTTGAAAGACACACACACATACACAAAAAGCAAGAAATTGTTCAAGGACACATTTGGTAAATGATGGAAATTGGATTTCAAATGAATACAGTCCTTCTGCAAAGATGGAACAACTAGACTTGGTGTTACTGAAGTAGAGAAGTAAATTGCCTAGAAGGCATGCACCCTTGGATCTCCCAATAATATCCTCTGAAATTCAGCATACTAAAACCATAATTCATCAAGCTCCTGCCTCTCTATAACATCCCTCCTCTGACACACCAAATCAACCATTAAGTTGTTTTCTGTTCTGCCAGCAGCATCACTGTTCTTTCAAAATTCTACGCTGGAAGCTTTGAATTAATTTGACTGCTCTGTGCCCTAATTTAAATTCGGGGAATTTCTAATTTAAAACAAACAAACAAACAAGTTTTTAAAAATTTAATCACAGAGATATACACAGTTACAAAGTTTTTTGTGATTGGGTTTCAGTCATATAATGTTCCAACACCCATCCCTTGTACATTTCCCACCACCAGTGTCCCTAGTTTCCCTTCCTCTCTCCCTTTCCCCCCCTATAGCAGGGTCTCTCCCTTTCTCTCTCTCTCTCTCTCTCTCTCTCTCTCTCTCTCTCTCTCTCTCTTTCTCTCTCTCTCTTTCTCTCTCTCTCTCTCTCTCTGCCCTTTCTAAATTTATCTGCAACAATTCATCAGAGCAGACAACTACCAAGACTCTTGGCTAAGAGGAAAAAGCTTAGTGATTCTGAGTTTTTTTTTTCTGGGACTTTTAGCACTCAGTATGGTGTTATTTTCTATTGTTGTTTTGGTGTCTCATGCTCTACCATTGTTTTGGTGTCTCATGCTCTACCGTTCTATTGTTGTTTTGGTGTCTTCTGCCCCCGTGACTGGCTGTTCCTCACCGGGGCCCGTTGGAGGGGAGCGGGTTGAGCTTTCCTCCCCGCCCCGACCAGGGCTCCGGCAGCCAAAGACCTCCAGGACCAGCCACCACCATGCTGAGACCACTCTCCGCACACATGAAGGTACTGGCAGAGGGACAAAGCCACGCAGGTTCCGGGGCCGAAATCTCCAAGCCTACTCGAATTGGAGTCGAGCATCCTCCACCCAGATCCTCCAAATTCCAGTAGGCGGGGATCACACCCACCACCTGGCCCCCTGGCACCGTGAAATCCCATCAACGGCCAAGACTCAGAGACTATAAAATCCAGCTCCGGGAACCGCAAATGCGGCAAATGTGGCTGCGCGACCTCTTATCAGGACATCTTTTTATGACATCTTATTATCTCATTCCTACTTTGGACAAACTTGCAGGCTATCGAATGTAGCCTGCCCACAGGGCAGAGTCTGGCAAACTCCCCGTGGCGTACCAAATATGCCAAATACCAGTAACAATGATGGGTCTCATTCTCCTAAAGAGCCTTGAATATAATCTCAGGGCTAGGATGAAAGAGACGTTACTGGGGCCTGCTCGAGGCAATCGACGAATAACAGGATGATGAAATGAAATGAAATGTTGTTTTGGTGCAACACTAAGGATGCTCAGGACTTAACTCCTGCCTCTGAGTTCAGGGATCACTTCTAGAAAAACTAGGGGGGACCACAGGAGTTGCTGAGAATGAACCAGTGTTGACCTATGTGCAAGGCAAGTGCATATTAACTCTTCAGCTTAATATATAATATATATGATATATATATATATATATTTAACACTCATGTTTTTCTCACATCAAAAACAGAAAACAAGAGGATAAGTGATAGCTCAGCTGTATGGAGCATATGCTTTGCATGCGGAAGAGCAACTGGATTCCTTTCACTGCTTGGTTCCTGGAATACCAAGCAGTGAATAGTTCTTGAACATCATTGTAGAAGGTATGGCATATACAGGAAACAACAACAAAAATATAAAAATTAGAAAATTAGGGGATGGAGAAATAGTACAGAGTGTAAGACGTATGCCTTGCGCTAATCCCACCTGGTTTCGATCTCCAGTATCTCATATGGTTCCCGGAACCTGCCAGGCATGATCCCTGAGTGCAAAGCCAGGAATAAGCCCTGAGCACCACTGGGAGTGGACCAAAAACAAAAGTAGAAAATAAAACAAATTTAGGAAGTGCTTATATTAAAAGTCTATGAACAGTAATATGCCAAGAACTTCCCCATGAAGTTATTCAATGATGAGATACAGAGGGCTTTTGTTGTTGTTGCTGCTGCTGTTGTTATTTCAAATTGGAGCACTAATAAGTTGTAGTCCGACTTAGAGGAAAAACTACAAATCCCAGAATGCCATTCTTCTCCCCCGCTAGCCGCTCGAGGCTATATTAACCAATCCCTGCAAAGAGAGTCGTTATCAGCCAATCCTAACGCGCCCTGGATTCCTGAGGAGGCGGGAGGCGGAAGTCGCTCTAGATTTGAAATACAGAAATTGGCGCGTTTACTGAAACTCCGGAGAGTCTTAGTTTTAAGAGAGTCGCCTGGGATCTTCTGTGGGAAAGCGCAGGGGCTCGGAAGAGGTGAGGAAGATGGTACTGACCTGCCTATCTCGAGGAGCCAGTGTGTTTGGGTCGCGGTGTCTGTTTGGGCCGCTGGGTCTCGCGGGCGGTCAGCGGCGAGGCCGAGTGAGATTGTTATCAGCGGACGGGATGTTTGTGGCCCTTCTGGGAAAATTTGAGGCTATTGGATACACTTACAGTAACAGAACTGTGGGGGTGGGCGTAAGGGGCTGTTGTGTTTCAGGACGTTGTTGGACAGAAGACACAAGCCCGGAAGGTCTACGTGACTTATAGCGGTTCAGAAATCTCCCAACTCTGCTTTGTGTTTTGCGCTGACCGGACTGTGGGTAAGAGGGAGATGCAAAGTACACCTTTGGGATTTACCCTGGGCAGAGGCTGAACCCTGGGACCTGCCCACTCGGGCTGAAGTTGGAAGGGACCATAATATAAACGTCTTCCGTCTTAACCTGTGAAGACGCTGCGCTAGGGTAATATTTTCTCCAGGGTTTAGAGGGGCTCGTGCACTAGCACTACTCTCGGATCCCTATCCCCAACTCTGGCTGCATCTTATCTAGGGTTCAATCCGATGGATTAATTCTGCTCTGAGCGGACCTGGATTTAAGAGTAGTTTGCTAACTATTTTCTAGCAGAAGTCAAACTACCAAAATATACTGCGTTAGAAAGACCAGATTTCAGGAACTTAAAAAAATGTCATGTCGGCGCTTATTGTTTTGTAGCGTTTGCCTTACAAAATGGTAGAGGACGAACTGGCACTATTTGATAAAAGCATAAATGAATTTTGGAATAAATTCAAAAGCACTGCTAATGACACTTCCTGTCTGATGGTGGGACTTAGAGACGCCTACAAGGATTCCTTTAAAGCACTTGCAGGTACCCTAAATTATCATGAAACTTGTTGTTTTTTTGTTACTCCTGTTATTTCAGACTAATTGAAACATCAATTCCACTTTTTCTTTCAGAAAAGCTCAGTGTGAAATTACAAGAAGAAGAACGAATGATTGACACTTTTCTGGAATATCAAAATCGTATGTGACATCCCAAGAGTTAATTTTAAAGACTATACATCTTTATGAAATCTGTCACAAGAGTAAAGCATGTAGTGTGGTTGTACACACATATAATGTGTATTCTATATATAATGAACATTTATTTATCCACATTCTTGGTTAATAAATAGAACATACCATGTTTGCTTTTCTCTTCTCCCATCTTCCAGGACTAGTCTATCAGTATTTTTCTTAGTACTATGTTTTTTTTAAATTTTTTTATTTTTTTTGCTTTTTGGGTCACACCCGGGAATGCACAAGGGTTCTTCCTGGCTCTGCATTCAGGAATCACTCCTGATGGTACTGGGGGGGCCATATGGGATGCTGGGAATCAAACCCAGGTCTGCCGCATGCAAACACCCTCCCCACTGTACTATTGTTCCAGCCTTAGTCCTATGTCTCTCAATGTTATATAAAAGCATCATATAAAAAAATATTCTGTCCTTTTTTTCACTCTGAGTTATACAGACACACCTTAGAGGTATTACACATTCAGTTCCAGACTACTACAATAAAATGTCATCGTGAAACAAGTCACAGTAACTTTGATTTCCATAGCGGTTAGGTTTGCACTGTTTTGCGTATACCTTAAATCATGTGTCATAGAGACATGAAGTAGCATATACTGTTGGAAAAATGGTACTCAGACTTATTCTATGCAGGATTGCTACAAACTTCAAATTTGTAAAAGCAGTGTTTAAGTGCAGTGATAGGAGTTATGCCTCCTGAATTTGTAACATTTATCTATTGTTGATATATAAATGCCTGTATGTTATAAAAACAAATTTATCTTTTTTCCATCAGAACTTCCAGCATGGGGTTTTAAAAGATGGAAGTCTGGAGGTAGTATTAGTGCTCTGACAGTTTTTCTTCTTGTATTTATACTACTGTTTTTGTCTCCTCATTTCTTACCATTTTCCCGTGTACCCAGAGTTAATCATAGCTTTTATTGAATTTTCATAGAGACTAAAGATTTGTGGCCACCAGCCAAATTCTACTGAGGATATTTAGTGGTATAGTGCTTTTAAACACAAACTAGAGTCCTTTTGAGAGGACATGTGTTGCTTAATTTATCACAGTACCAGTAGTTTGTTTTGTTCTGCATTGCCTTATTCACTTTATTCATTGCCTTTTCTTCTGCATGTTACTAAGCAGTAAGGAAAATGACTTTTGTTTGTGTGTTAAGATTGATATTAAATTTGGGCCCTTTAAACAATCTTGATTTGTAGAATCCCTTGGGAACTAGAAAATTGGTAACTTTATTTTAATTTATGAGTTTCAAAATGTATTCTTTTGAGGGTTACAGTTTTATTTTTTAGGCTTTTTAGATCATATCCCAGGATGCTCAGGAGTTACTCCTGGTTCGGCAGTCAGAAATTACTCCGGTGGCACTAGGGGTACCATATGGGATGCTGATGCTGATGTTGATGCTGGGGATTGAAATCAGGTTGATTGCATGCAAGGCAAATGCCCTACAAGCTGTATTATTACTCCAGCCCCCCCACCCCCCAGAGGTTATAGTTTTAAATCGCCTAAAAGCATTATTCCAGTAGCTGCCTTCACAGGGGAATGAGTGCTTAGTGAACATAGAATCTCTAGAGTTTTATTTTTCCGGTGAGGATTGTAGAATATTTAACAGCTAACAATTTATCTTATAATTCGTGTGTCAGGTCCTGTTCTAAGCTCTTTGAACTTGTTTAATAATCAGGACAAGCCTTGGAATATATTTTCAATGTTTTAATCCTACCCTATGAATAAGGACATAGTCATAGAGCTGGTCAAGTAATCTGTTCATGGTTAAATAGCTGGTAATCAGCAGAAACAGGATTTGACTATTCTGCCTCTATTCCAGTCTGGATTATACCACACTCTTCTGGGGAAAGGTTGTGGATCTTCTTTGGATCCAATGCTCTATTTTAGAAGAGGAAACTCTGTAGTCAAGCATCATAAACATGAGAGCTTGTTGAATTCTGAGCTAACTAGGATATTGTGTGGATGGGGAGTAGCAAAGAATTTGGTGGTAAGATGATGTAGTACATTATGTGTTGAGCATCAGTGTCAGGTATAGGATAATTCCCTATTCTGTTAGGATAATAGCCCCCGGTTTTAGACTGTAGGTTAATGATGATACATTTATTAGGTAATGAATTAGAGCACAAGTATGTTTTCGGGCATGGAAGGGAAGTGTAGACGGGTTCAGTGTTAATGTGTTGAGTAAATTTGTGGAAATTGTGCTGTGTGTCTTGCAATAAAAGATAATGTGTTAGACAGGACAAAGCCTTCTGAAGGAAAGTGGTTTGGCTGAAGAGAGATTTGGGAGTTTTCAGTGTACATGGAATTTGTGCTTTGGGACTTGAAGCTGTGGAAGAATGTGTAGTGTGAAAAAGACAAAGCCTAGTAGATTAGTCAGCATTTACTGAGTTTTTTTAAATTTGTTTTTTGTTTGTTTGATACAAGGATCACCTATGTTCTCAGCATTAAATCCCTGAGTCTTTATTACCTGAACTAAACTATTAATCGCTGAAGCTATATTAGGTTTTTACTATATTACCAGGTATTCTGTTAAATTCTTTATGTACATACCTCTTTAATCCTCATAAATTGTTCTTCAAAGCAGATCTCATTATTTCCATTTTCTTGATACGATTATCAGTTCAGGTGATTCTTCTCAGATCATCAGATGACTCAGGAGGAATTATTCCTCATGATATTACTTTGAAATGGAAAGGGTAAACAGGATTAGCAACTGAAGAACAGTGAAAGAGAGATGGTCAAAGAAACTAGGAGAGTAAAGAACTAACACAGCATTATCAACACTGGCTCACAGCTAAGTCCAATATAGTCAACGCTAAAAGGCTCTCTGAATTTAGTCATGTGAGGAGAATGGAGACCAATTTTAATGGAATGTTAAAGACAGAGGTCTCAATAGAATTAAAAGATGAAGTAGTGTAGAATGCTTTCAAGAGATTTAAATGAAAGATTACAGCCATGTGTGGGAACTGAGTGCTTTATTTTTTTAAGTTCCACGAAGTCAAACATTTTATTTATTCATTTTGTTCAATATTGCCCCTTTCAGCACTCAAAACATTGATAAAAGCGTAGTTTAATGCAGTTACCATTTGCCACTATAAAGCAAATGTACCTCATCAGCAAAAATTGGGGCTGGAGCAATAGCACAGCGGGTTGGGCGTTTGCCTTGCACACAGCCAACTCAGGTTCGATTCCCAGCATCCCATATTGTCCCCTGAGCACCATCAGGAGTAATTCCTGAGTACAGAGCCAGAACTAGCCCCCGTACATTGCCGGGTGTTAAAGAAAAAAAAAATTGCCTGAAAGTTTAGGGAAAATTGACTCAGAGACTATGATTTGTTTCTTGATTGTCTACTTGTATGTGTGTTTTTGTTTGTTTTATTTTTATTTTATTTATTTTTGCTTTTAAAAGAAAAGAGCCCAGCAGAACTCTTCGGCTCCTGTTTTATTATTATTTTTTTTAAGTGACATGCAAGATTGCTTAGGAGTTACTCTCAGCTCTGTGCTTGTGATCCGGGAGCTCCGGATCCATTGGTGATCTCTGTGCTCCGGATCCAGAGGTGATCTCGGGACCGTGTGGTGCTGAAGATTGAACTCAGGCCTCCTACACATAAAGCATTGAACTCCTGCCTATTTCACTCTTTTTAGCCCCAGACCAAGTTTTTAAATCTACTCTATTATTTACATCATTAATAATCTGGACAAGTAATCTAATAATTTGTAATGACATGGTCAAAGTACATTAACATGAAGGGAGATCAAGCAGGACCATTACACTCAGAGGCAAATTTATACATTCTAGGAATGCCCTTAGGAACAGGGAGTACATTTTTTAAGTGAAGTGTACTTCCAGGTCCCAGGGATTGAGTACCTTGATTGAGCTTTTCCTTCCCTTTCAGGCTATCCAGTGTAAAACGAACATGATTATTTAGTGCAGGAAAAGCCTGAGATGGAAAGTAAGTGTTGAGAAAGGAAAGAGGGTTATTAGGAAAACAGTAATCTAGATAGTTTGTGACTGAAGAAGAAGCCAAATCATGGTCTGATTTCTACTTCTTAACCTGAATCAGTATTCTCATTTTAGCAAGTATTTGTTTCATCTTTGTTTTCGTAAACAAATATAAAAGAATAGAATTTTTTTCTTTTGGATACTTTACAAATTTTGAATCATTAAATGCATGCCAATGAAGACACTGTTTATTAAATCTTAATGAAAGTCATTATTTTGGTCTTACAAACATGTCAGAAAGGAAAGCATATAGAGTGTGCTAATACTTTGTGCTTCCTACAGAGATCAGCAAGCAAAATAAAGTCATTCAAGAGAAAAAAGATAACTTACTAAAGTTGATTGGTGAAGTTAAAAGCAAAAGGCAGGATTTGGAAGTAATGACTGCAAACATTAAGGATCTTAAGGAGGAATATGCTCGGAAGAAGGAAAGTAAGTTTCAGCTGTACACATACTTAAAACATTACCTTAAATTTTGAAATGCTGATGAACCACAATGGCTATGTATATCTTGCTTTCCCTCCAGTATATTACCAGAAATGAATGGCAAACCTCAGAGGTGTTGCCGACTATGCACTCATTTCTATAAGGTGTCTGTTAAAGTGAGCAAAGTGGATTTTATTTTTTATTTTATTTGAAGGTCCTTTTGATTTCTATTATAACTAGATTAATAATGACATTCCTATGGGAGTTTAATTTAGCATTGTGTGAGACACTTTTGCTCAAGAAGACTTGCCTGTGAGACACTGTGGTGTACATAAATTATGCAGCACATTTATTGATTGCATGTTCTCAGCCAGGAACTCTTGAGTACAGTCTTTATACAGCAAAGTCTCTTTGTCTAAAAACTTTCATATTCAAATGAGTGCTTCCTTTAGAAAGAAGGCTCCTGTGCCTACCAAGCGATAATCAATTCCCAAATCTCTTGAAAGCAGCAGCTTGATTTGTTAATACTTTCTCTTACACAGTTTGTGTGTACTTCTGCATTTTCTCATCTGCTATGTTTTAAGGAATATTGTGCTAACTTTGGAAAAATTCTAAGGTAGAATCAATAAGATACATTTATTTCTTGAGAAATAATTATGTTTAAAGGAGTAGAATGTTTTTTCAGCAAAGCAGTTAGTTTATTGTTGACTAACCCAAATAATCAAAACAGGAGGAGGTCTTTTAATTTCTCAGCTAGCTGTGCAGATCCTTAGTCTACTCATTAATGCCTCTGCATAATAAAACAAAGCAAAATGGATTCCTCTCACTACTTCTACATATTTTTTATGCAGTTTTTCCTTCCAGCTTGAATGAACAGGAGCCCTTTTTGGCTAATTGGTAGAGATAGACACTGAATATACATAAGCAGATTTGTTTGCCTGACATTTTAAAAATTTGTTTTCAAGGTTTTCAAAAATCTTGTAATTATTGGAGTGTTTGAAATCTTTGATTCTACATGTCTGTGTGTTTAAATTATAGCTATTTCCAATGCTAACAAGGCTAATGAAGAGAGGTTGAAAAGGCTGCAGAAGTCCGCAGACTTGTATAAAGATCGACTTGGATTAGAAATTCGAAAAATTTCTGGTAAGTCTATTAACATAAATAAATCGGAGGACATTTAAAAAGTGTATTTTTGTTTAATACAGGAGAATCGGGGTTGAAGGGCTTGGAGGGGGTGGGGGGAAGGAGGGCTAGTTAGGCTGTTGCCAGTATGTGTACCCCAGATTGAACCTAGGCCTTGAGTATAAAAGCCTGGGCTCTACTATTCAGGCACATCCCCACCCCTCAAGAGAATTTTTAAAGTATTTTCAACTAAAAGAATGACTTTTATTAAATTTTTAGAAAATGGAAAAAAGTTATAAAAAGTTTATGATCTCAACAATAATTATTGATGCCTTTAGCACAGTGGGTAGGGCATTTGCCTTGCACGTGGCCGACCTACGTTCAATTCCTCCGCCCTTCTCAGAAAGCCCGGCAAGCTACCGAGAGTATCTTGCCTGCACGGCAAATCCTGGCAAGCTTCCCGTGACATATTCAACATGCCAAAAACAGTAACAATAAGTCTCACAATGGAGACGTTACTGGTGCCTGCTCGAGCAAATTGATGAACAATGGGAGGACAGTGCAGTGCAGTGCTTGTTATTTATCATTCAGCATTTTAATTAACTTACTTTTGGAATGTTGCCAACATGCCAATACTTCTTGTTTCTTATTTTTAATTAGCATTCTGTGAATAGCATTTCTGTAGTTGCTAAGCGTTCAATGGTAATTTTTAAATGGTGGTATAATTATTCATTCCATTAATGTATCACAATTTATTTAGTTTCTTGTCTATTAATTAATACACGTATTCCTTCTAACTTGACATTTGAATTCTGCCAGTTTTTCAGTGTTAGAAATATTGGAGTGAGCATGAATTTCTCCACTTCTTTTTGTATGATTACCATGAAATTCCCAGAGATAAATTAAGAGTTAAGGCATACAAATACTTTTATGACCATTATGTATATGTGCAGCAATTTACAACACTGCCACTATATCTATGTGTGCCAATTCTCAACAGTACAGCTGTAGCAATACCAGTTTATAGCACTACCACTCTAGGAGGCTCCAAAGTGGCCATCAAATTTGATGATTTAGTAGGACTTCTAGGACTCAACAAATGCCAAGATTTATTGTAGTGTAAAGATACAAAGCAATATTACCAGCCTCTGCCCCCCACCCCACCAAATAGATGGCACATACAGCAAAATTCAGAGCATTGTTTTCGAAACTAAGTGGTGCCCCCACCCCCCACCCCCCGCATTGGGGGGAGAGGGAGGTCTAGAATGATATAAGGTTGTGGTAGCCTCAGATATAATTGGGGCTTCTTTGGTATGTTGACTTAAAGAAGGTAGGTTTTCAGGGATGCTGAGAAATTTTTCTTGCTTTTTTTCTGAAAAGGTGGTTATAGGCCAAATAAATTTGGGGACATTTAGAATGGAAACAGTATTTTTAGGCATGAATTTTCAAGAATCCTAATCCCCTAGAATTACAAAGAATATGTTCATTGTCTTCCATATTGAATTATGTCGATTCTGCTCTACCCGGGAAACTCTTTAGAAGGTCTAGAAGCTTTGACTGGTTCTCCCTGGATTGCATCTCTTGCACCTTTCTCCTTTACTGACTTACTCTCCTTTGTATGCAGTAAATCAGAGCCCCGAGTATATCCATGTTTCATTCTATAAGTCCTCCCGTGAATCTTCAAACCCAGGGTGGTTTTGAGGCTTCTACAGAGGAGCAAACTTACAAGTGAACCTTTTATAGATAACTGTCTCCTATACAAATTGTGATTTATTTGTGGCAGTTGACCAGATCATGTTGAAACCTCTGATGTTTTTCTTTGGGCTGTAAAGAAATCTCCATTTACCACCAGGTATAGCCCAAAAACAAACCAAAAAGGGTGTCTTTGCTTACTAAAAGGTGGCCATTTGTTTATTAATTTATGTACTTTTCTTTGGTTTCTTTATCCATATACCTGTGGCTCTTACTTTTCAATCAATTGGAATGAATTTTTAGTAAAAAAGTATTAATCTTTTAAAATCCAATTTTACTGATTTACTGTTCATTTACAATACTATTAAGTTTTTGGAATATGTTTTTAAATCTCTATGTGTAGAAGTTTTATCCACCACCAAAATCCCAGGCTATTAAGTACTATTAAAATGACTTTTTTCTTCCATTCCCTTCCTTCTGATAGTCTTATACTTCACAGACTCTATTCACAGAAGCTATTTTTGTTTTGTCTTGGCAGTTTATTTGCTTTGATTATTTATATTCCACGTGAGTGAAGCCATCCAACAATTCCTTGCTTCTGACTTAGTCCACTCAGCATAATCCCCTTAACTGCCATCTAGTGCTAATGCTGTCTTTAAAAGCTTGACTTCTTTATTGAGGATATGGGGGTGGGGGGTGGGAGTATCATACCTGGCTTTGCTCAGAACTTACTCCTGATTTTGTTCTCTGGTGGACTCATATGGGGTACCCAGGTGGATCACGTGCAAGGCAAATGTCTAATTCTCTATACTTGCTCTTTCGCCGGTGATTTCTTTTTTAGTAGATGAGTACTATTTCGCTGTGTGTATACCACAACTTTGTAATCTCTTATAGCAGTTTCTGCCTTTTTGTGGTGTTAGTTTTAAATACTTTAGTCTTTACTCTGAATCTGTATGACATGAGCTTATATGTGATATATGCATACAAGTTCACTTGATCACTTGACTTCCCGTTAATCGTCGATTTGCTCGAGCGGGAGCCAGTAACATCTCCATTTGTCCCTGTCGCGTGCTAGTGTAGCCCAATGGCCTCTGTTCATTCTAGAAACACGAAGAGCCTCAAACCAATCATTCATGATCTTGATGAAGAAGTCTGACCATCTGGTAGGTGGGCAGCCACGTGGTCTTTTGACATCCCGTGGCATCCAGTCGGTAACGGCTCTAATCCATCGGTCATCTCAAATCTCATTACGTGACCAGCCCATCTGATTTTTGACACCTTGGCAAACGAGACAGCATCCCTGATTCTTGATCATCGACAGAGGTCGAAACTCCGGATTCTTTCTCTCATTTGAGTGAAACGTGATACTCCAAGCATAGCTTTTTCAATTCCTCTTTGGGAGACCAGAATAGCGAATAGTTCTCATCCTGTTTGCGTAGGGCCCAGGTCTCTGAGGCATATGTTAATGCAGGAAGAACAGTGGAATCAAAGAGATGTGCCCGGAGCCAGAGGTTCTTCGTCCTCTTAGCTATTTCTTCGACGTTCTTGAAGGCGTCCCAAGCTGCTCTCTTCCTCCTGCAGAGCTCGGGTGCCAGGTCATTTGTCATGTTGACTTCTTGACCTAGGTACACATAGCTGTTGCATTCGGAGATGGTCATTCCGTTGAGAGCAATTGGGGAGTCAGGAACGAGGCTGTTTCTCATAAACATTGCATACAAGTTAGACCTTGCTTTTATGCCCATACAGCTATTCTGTATCTTTTGATTGGTGACCATTCATATTTAACATGATTACTTAGCTGAGGCTTAATTATTGCCATGTTAATTTTTTTTTCTAGTTTTGTGTTTTTGGTGTTTCTGTTTCCCATAGTTTCAACTGCCCATTTCTTATTTTTCCCTCGTGAGTCTGTTTTCCTTGTGTCTCTGCTCTATATTTTTGTTTGTGCTTACCATTAGATTTGAGTCAGTTTATCTGTATTTAGGGAATACTGTTTGGAATTTTGTAGCCTTAATATCTTTAGTGACATGCCCCCTCTGCTTTTGCATTTCCTTTCTTATTTCATTAATGTTTCATTATGTTGGTGTGTATTTGGTTTATCTTGTTGATTGTCTTCACAATTTTTGATTCATTATTTATGAGACTCTTCCTTTCTATATTGTTAAGATTCATTTCAGAGGAATATCTTTTGTGTCCTTTTGTAACTGAATGTAGCCTTTTATTTATTTTGTTTTTCTAGTAGGAGAAACTGCTACTCTGGGTTTGAAGATTTTTTTTTCAGAGCTGTGAATTTATGAGTAAAGAGGGGTCAATGTGTTGTTGGCAAAGTTCTGCTAATTGCTGCCCGTACTTGGGAGACACAGTGCCCAGTATAACGTCCCTCACTGTCTCCTCTTCTCTGAGACCAACCTGTGCTCTCTCTCAGCTTAATGACTGATCTTAGATCCTTTTTTCTTTCCCTAGGCCCAGCCCATGTGTTTGCTGGGATCCTGGAGAATCTGATGTCTTCCAAAGTCCCTTCCCATGCCTGGTTTGCAGTTTCTACTGCACCAGCTCCTACCACTTTTATCTCCACAGCAGCAAGAGCTTGTCCACTTTCTCCTGAGCTTGCCCAAACCCGTGGGCTTTTAGCCGCTCCCCGACAAAAATGCAGGGTCTTAGATTGCTCAGAAGTTCCCTGGTGACAGATAAACTGGTGCAAGTCATATGAGGGATCTGTTCCTTCTGTGATCTGTTCCTTTGTGATTTGAGGGTATGCAGTTAAATAGAGGAAATGATAAGGTTCAACATGAACTCTTAGTTTATATTCTCTGTCATCTTGAGGTGTTTTCTTGTTCAGTTTTGTTTCAAAACTCATTTCAAAGCTTTAAAATTATTTTTGGATTTTAAAATAGAAATTTGCATAACCCTGAAAGCTAGGAAATACTGTTTTTAAAAGAGACAACCCAAATTAAACCCTTCATTTTCCCTAACTGAATATTTTATGAAATCGGTTTTACTTTGGCAAACATCCTTCTCATTACTATTAAGTCTATAAAAGAATCTGTATGAAAATAGTAATCTGTAAAACATTTAGACATAATTGTTTCATTTTGAATTTGAATGTAAGACAAAATTCTCTTAAAGTTTCTGAAAATTTCTTTGCGTAATTAAAAGATTTTTGTATTTTCTAATTTTTTCAAAAAGTTGCATGTGAATTTCTACTTTGTGGCAGCCATCTTGAATTTCTACCAGTTATTTATATTCCTTTGGGAGAGATCTTTTGGAAAATAGACTTTAAGTCCAGATAGTTGTATCAAAAAGATCAAATTAAATTCGACAATATAATTTAATTGTGATAAAAATACATGAAAGAATTTTTCATTTTACCTTTCTATTATATAATTCAGTGGTGTCTGTTACATTGCAGTGTTATGGAACCATTATTACTATTTCTAAAATTTTCCAGCACTACAAACTTTTTGTTCCTTAAACAATAACTCAGCATTCTTTCTTTTCAGTCCCTGATTACTTCAAACCTACTTTGTATCTTTATGAATTTTCCTGTTCTCATTTAAGTGGAACCAATATTGATTCTTTGTGTCTCACTTTTTCACTTACCACACTGTTTTCTAGGTTCATCCAAATGGTTACATGTATCAGAACTTCATTTCTTTTAATGACTGAGTAATTTTCAGTGTTTATATGACTACCAGATTTTGTTTAATCATTCATCTGTGAGTAGACAGTGGTTTATTCTTTTTGGCTGCTGTGAAATAATATAACTTTGAACATTGATAAACAGTTATCTATTTGAGTCTATTTTAATTTAAGCTTTGAGTGGAATGAATACATTTAGGAATGGTATTACAATTCCCAAACTGTTTTCTACAGCAACTGAGTCATCTTACATTTTTACCACCGTAGAGTGACAGAGCCAATTTCTCCATGTCTTTGTCAAAACTCTTCTTTTTAAATTATAACATTCTAATTTGTGTAAAATAACATCTCATTGTAATTTTGGTTTATACTTCCCTAGGGGCTGGAGCGATAGCAGAGCGGGTAGGGTGTTTGCGTTACACACTGGGCCGACCCAGGTTTGATTCCTCCACCCCTCTCAGAGAGCCCGGCAAGCTACCCCAAGTATCTCGCACAGCAAAGCCTGGCAAGCTCCCTGTGACGTATTCGATATGCCAAACACAGTAACAAGTGTCACAATGGAGACGTTATTGGGCCTGCTCAAGTAGATCGATGAACAATGGAAGGACAGTGCTACTTCCCTAGTGATAGTAATCAGTGATGATAAGCGTCTTTTTATGTGCTTTTTTGGGGGTCCATTTGTGAATATTTCAGTATGTTGTCGAAATGTCTGATTGGACCTTATCCATTTTGAAATGGGTAATTTTTCTTTATGTTCCGTTGTAGGAGTTCCTTATATAGGCTACCTATTAAACTCAAGATATGTGACTTATGGAGGTGCGGAATGGGGGTGGGACTAGCCTGGGAATCAAGCATTCATGACCACAGATACATGATATGAGAATATTTTCTTCCATTCTGTGGGTTGAATTTTTATTTCTCTAAAGTTCTTTGAATAATACTCTTTTTTATTCTGATGGAGTTCTAGTTTGTCTTTTTCTTCCTGGTGTCACATTTAACCCATAATACATTTGGCGGGGGGGGGGGGGGGTTCCTCCCTGGCATTTGGGTGGAGGGGCAGCCGCAAGGGCCATTTATAGAGCAGCAGCCTCTGAGTTCAGTGCCTGGACTCAGCCATTCAGTGCTGCTCCATTCCAGCTCTGAGGGGCCATGTAGTGCCAGGATGGGATCTAAGACCTTGTGTAGGCCAGGCATGAGCTCCTCTACCCCATTGAGCTTCTCCTTGGCCCCATAATAGATTTTATTTATTCTCTTTTATTTATTTTGGTTTGGGGGCACATCCAGTGATGCTCACCTGCTATCACTAGCTCTGCACTCAGGAATTACTTCCACTCAGGGAATCATGGGGTGCCAGCAATCAGATCCAGGTTGCCTACATGCAAGGCAATCCTTATGTGTTGTTCTTCACTCAGTCCCATTATTTTACTTAATGTTTGGGTTTTTGGGCCACACCTGACTGTGTTCAGGGTATATTCCTGGCTCTGTAAGGATCTTTCCTATTAGGGCTTAGGGGAATGTATGTGGGGCTGGAAATTGAGCCCAAGAAGGCTGAATGCAGGACAGGCACCTTACCTGCCTGATCTATCTGGCCCTGCAATAAATTTTTAAACTCATTATAACATGTACATATGGGGACATGAGTTTAATGAATATATTATCCTTAACAGTGTAGGGGTAGACTAGGAATAGAAAGGAATAGAAAGAAGGTTGATCCTTACTGAAAGTTTTGGTATAATAAAACAATCTCATGCTAATAATCTCTTTTTTTTTAGGTGATAAGCTACAGTTTATATTTACTAATATTGACCCGAAGCATCCTGAGAGCCCATTTATGTTTTCCCTACGCTTAAATGAAGAAAGGGATTATGAAGGTAAGGCATTTGGAATTATCTCAAAATGTTATTTGACTCAGATTATGGAGAAAAATAATAGTCCTACCAACTGTTGCATTCTTCTCCAGTCTTTTTGAGGATGTTGTCTTCTAAGGCAAGAGTGAGTGTAGTTTTGATATCTTGATATATCGATGTTTTGATATATAAATAGTATCAAAGGACATTCAGGTTTCTTCACTTCATGACACCTCAGTGCTGGTGACTGAAAAGTGTGCAAGACCAAGATCACTGCTTTTAAGAGTAGATTTTCCTTTGGAGAACTTAAAATGAAGCTAACGGTGGGGCTGGAGAGATAGTCCAGTGGATAGAGTGCTTGCTTTGCACGCATCCACTACAAATTCACTCCCCTCCGTTTCATATGGTACACACCACTCTGTGTGCCCCCACCCCCACAATGAAACTAAAGCTATAAAGGAAGGATATTATTGCTAAGTTTGAAGGTCATGACATCCAAGTAGATGAAGTTAAAATCATCAGTATATGATTTTAATTTTCTCAAAAAAGAAATTTTAAACATACAGTACAGAAAATCCCACATGTTGATAATTTACCTTACTTATTCTGTATTCTGTCACAAGTCAAAGGCCTTTGATTTATGGGAAATTATATATAATTGGTAATAGAGTGAACAAAATGGAAATTTTTTTTCCATTTTGAACAGAATGAAAATATATTTTATCTCAGTGATTCTTATACCCCTTTTAAAGTAGTGCTTAATTTATTGAAATTCTGAGAAATGGTTCGCATCCGTTTATACCTGTGTTCTCAACATAAAACACTTAAAAGCAGCGACACTGAGACATTCTGAGTTGGTTCCTAATGTGCACCACTGGTTCAATTTCTATTCTAATGGGATTTATATTATAGAAATGTAATTCAGGCACAAATGTCAATTTTTTTTTTTAAGTAAAGCAAGATAGTTTTATTGAAACTTACTTAGAAAGATGTGAGGAGAGAAATAGAAGGAGCATGTGCCCAAGAGAGAACATGGGCTTCTCCAGAGTGGAAAAATGCCACAGATGTAATTTTTGTGTCTCTAGCTGGTTATCTCCTAATTTATTAAGTACTAAGCTTTTTAAAAGGCTAACCCAAAAGCTGCTCTTAGTTTTTCAATTTTCTTTGATTTACTCTTTATTACTACATAGTATTTGATAGTATATTTAGATTGAATCTACAGTACACATTTTGGTCCAAATGATTATCTTTGCTACCCTTTCTTTAACTGTGGGGATATGTTTTCCAGGCATCCTCTGGAAAAGAGCTGTAAGCTTGATAAGGCTGCACAAAGGATGAGATTGATGATAGAGAAAGCAGGATCGTTCCTGTCCTTTATTGCGGACTTGCTCCCACTATACCAAACTGGAACAAGTAGCATCTGGCACAACTACGTGTGGGGGCTGTACTATTGTCTGTTAACTTGAATCTCATTTGATTATTGGCCTTATAGTTTCTGATGTGACCACATTTTCTTAAGACTTCATTCACTTGAGGTGTCTAAAGTGAACGAAAGTCCTGTTGAATAACATTGGTCAGTTCTTTCTCCTCAAGGAGCTTAGGTTTACTGAGTAGCACCCCTCACAATGTTCCTGTACTCCCATTCATCTTTAACTTCTCCTTTGTGCTCTGCTTCCCTTATCTGTCAGTCACTTATTTCCCCTAATCATACCCTGTGACTTGTAAATCAGATTCCTCAGAGGATTCTGGATTTTGTATTTGTAAGTGTAATATTACTTTTCTCTTTCCTTTATGTCCTTTACATTAGAGTTTACATTAGAGCAATGTCCTTTTTGTATAGACACAGGAAGATAGTTGATGCTGTGCTTTTGTTACTTGAGAGTTATTTGACTGAATAATATTTATACCTAGGCATCTGTCATATTTACTCACCTTAAGCCTCAGTTGCCCTTAGTTCTTAGCACCTCAAAAGGAGGGTCCCAGTGAAGGGATTTAATGGATCCTGGGATTTGATGGATCCCGGGCAAGCTGTAAGCTACCCTGGCATCAAAAAGGGACAGATCAAAAACCATAAAACTAGTAATAAGTTAAGAACACAGTTATGTACAAACTCTGTCATGACCTAAAAAGAAGTAACTGGACAAAGACTCTGCTGGGGTTAGGAAGGATTAATCTGGCCTGAGGACTGTAGTCTGGATATATAACAAGGTGTGCCCAGGAGAGCCACCCTTTAAGCTTGGTAAATCTCTCACTGTGTCCATACAAAATGACTAGAAATATTATTTAGAAATAAATTTAAGATGACTGTTTAAATGCATACTGGCTAAGAAAAGGGGAAAGTAATAGCACCTTAGATGGGATCCCACCCTTGTGTAGATCTCCTAGCAGAATGAGATATTGGTTCTTAGTTTGGTGGTTTTGTTTTGTTTTGTTGCCTTTTGGGTCACACTCGAAGATGCACAGGGGTTACTCCTGGCTCTGCACTCAGAAATTGCTCCTGGTGGTGCTAAGGGGACCATATGGGATGCTGGGAATTTAACCCGGGTCAGCCAAGGGCACGGCAAATGCCATACCTGCTGTACTATAGCTCCAGACCCCTTAATTTGGTTCTTAACTAAGGCTGTGAGACAGGGCGCAAGAAAATGGAAATGAGGGGCAGAGGGAGACTCAAATGGGGCACACAGTGAGACTGGAAGATGAGCAGAGAGTAAGACTAAAATATGACAGAGATTGGAATAAACAGCAACTGATCACCAGCTAGCTTGGCTTCTCTGTTTCCTCCTTCATGCCTCTGTTGGTTGCAGAAGCTCACTGGGGTGGGGAGACAGCTCGTGGCCACCCAATGCAGGTGGCACGTGCCCACACATTTTGAACACACAAGTCCAATTGTTACTGAAGTAACACTTCAGGGCTAGAGAGATAGTATAATGGGTAGGACACTTGCCTTACATGTGGCCAACCCATGTTCTATCCCCCAAGGCCTGTCAAGAGTGATCCCTGAGCATAGAGCAGGAATAATCCCTGAGTATCCCTAGGTATGGATCAAAAATAAAAGAAAAGAAAAAAATTTCAATAAGTAAATCCATAATTTTAAGTTATTAATAGTTGGCATTGAAAGTTTTTTTTTTCCTCTATTTTTTCTTTAAATCCAGTGGCCTACAAAAAGAAGTCAGGTCAAAGTTTTGCAGTCAAAAATAAGAAAAAACCCTGACTTAACAGTAAAAAAAAGAAAAAAAACTGAGTAGCTTAAATAGTTGAAATACATAGATCTAAGATGATAAGCAATGACATTCAGCATTCTGTTCTACAGCCCTAAGCTCTTTATTCCCTTGACTACCATCTGTTTAAATTTAAAGTAAGATTGTAGTATTTAAGATAAGAATATTTCGAAATTAAACAAAGTGTCCAATGATAGTTAAGATATGAAAATCAAGTGTTTCTATCACTGTGCTAACTGCATTTTAATAAAATCCAATTGAACTGAAATTGTTCTAATCAGGTGAGAACATCTAATTTAGAAATACTTCTCATCCATAAAAGCATCTCATTCAAATTATCCTTTTTTTCCTTCCAGTGTCAGATAGTGATCCTCACCTTGAGTGCCTAGCAGAGTTTCAAGAGAATGTAAGGAAGACCAACAATTTTTCAGCTTTTCTTGCCAACGTACGAAAAGCTTTTACTGCTCTGGTTTATAATTAATGAATGAGTAGTTTATAAAAACTTTTTTCTTCCCTGTATCTCATTAGAATTCTCATTATCCATTCTATGCTTGTAATTCTTTTCTATTTTTGTAACATTTCTCCTACGTGCCATATCTCTTTAAATTACTTTAATTAAATCTCAGAAAGAAAATTGTACAAAGTGAAATGTGTTCTTTTTTAAATGACAGTAAGTATATATTTTAAATGCTAGGAATGGCTAGTTTGTGGCTAGGATGGAAATGGAGATTTGTACCTCAACTTGTATCACATCACCAAAAGTATCCTGCCCGCATGGCAGAGTCTGGCAAACTTCCCATGTCGTACTCAATATGCCAAATACCAGTAACAATGATGGGTCTCATCCTCCTAATTCTGAAAGAGGATTGAAATGGCTCTTTTAAAATCTCAGGCTAAGAATCTGGAAAAAACCTGAGTGCCCGAGAACAGATGACTGGTTAAAGAAACTTTGGTACATTTACACAGTGGAGTACTATGTAGCTGTTAGAAAAGATGAAGTCATGAAATTTACATACAAGTGGTACTACATGGAAAGTATCATGTCAAGCAAAATGACTCAGAAAGAAAGGGATAGACATGGAAAGATTGCATTCATCTGGGGAACATAAAGTAACAAAATAGGAGACTAACACCCAAGAACGGCCGAGATTAGTATTAGGAATTTTACTCCATGGCTTGGAGGCCAGCCACACATGCTAGGGGAAAAGGGAGCTCAGATAGAGAAGGGAACACCAAATAGAGTTGTTGGGAGGATCCTCCCAGGATGGGAGAAGCATGCTGAAAGTAGACTATAGACCAAACATGATCGTCATCCATTGCCTCTTTTGCAAACCACAACACCCAATAAGAGAGAACAAAAGGGAATGCCCTGCCACAGAGGCAGGGTGGGATGGGGGGATGGGGGGTGGGAAGGATACTTGGATCCGTGGTGGTGGGAAATGGGCACTGGTGGAGGGATGGGTATTTCATCATTGTATAATTGAAACCCAAGCACAAAAATTTGTAAGTCTACAACTGTACCTCATGATGTCTCACTAATAAAAAAATAAAATAAAATCTCAGGGCTAGGTAGAAGGAGACGTTACTGGTGCCTGCTCGAGACAATCGATGAACAACAGGATGATCGTGATGGTGAGATATTTATATATATATACATATATATATATATATATATATATTCGGGAAGTGGCCCAACCCATCTTAGTAAATTGGTAAATTTTTCATTGGCAAAACAAAACAAATATTATCCTGATATCATGAGGATTATTTTTATCTCACACCAAGAGGAGCCTATAGTTAAAATGCAAACCTTGCAACAAAAGATGGATGGCAACATTCTGCCGACATTTTATTAAGATATCCAAAAAAGAGATATTTTTGAGAATCTATATGTAAAATATTTACAAGCAGTTTCTGTTTTGTTATATTTATACTGTTTAGTTATGGTTCAAATAAAAGTTTTCTATTTTTGTAGTCTATTCAGCACAGATTAAAATTCAAATGTCAACTTATTCTAGGATTCTCTGTCATTGTTCTTTCCATGCAAATTTTGTTGTACTTGGATACCCCATCTGTAATGGAAGTCATGCTGTACTGTTTCACGATCTCTTTGGTATACCTTCAAACCACAGATCCAGGCATCAAGTTTCTTTTGCTTCTCATTAAAGTGTGGGTTAAGAAACTGAAGAGGTAGCCCAGTGGGCTCAGGCGTGAGCTTTCTTCTGCCAGGAGGCACTGCCAAGCACCAAGCCAGGAGTTGCTCTTGATCACTATGTTTAGCCCAAAAACTAAGATGTGTAGTCAGTAGGAATAGGAAGGAGTTTTCAGAATTCTTGTTTGCCACACATGCCTAGCACTTGACTCAGACACTTTTTAACATTATGTAGCAGTACAACTTATCTGAGAAGGCTGTGGACTGGTGGAGTCATTCCACACTTCCCCAGAGTGCTGATTAGTTGAAGATACCACTGGGTGGCATTGACTCTACAGGAATGAAAGGCAAATAAGTTACTCTAGATAATAGACTATGTGCTGTTAACAATAGTTTTATCTGTTTCAGCATGGACTGGAGCAGTAGCACAGCGGGTAGGGCGTTTGCCTTGCAAACCAACGACCCTGCCAACCCGAGTTCGATTCTTCCGCCTTCAATTCCTCTGCCCCTCTCGGAGAGCCCGGCAAGCTACCGAGAGTATCTCGCCCGCATGGCAAAGCCTAGCAAGCTACCCGTGACGTATTCGATATGCCAAACACAGTAACAACAAGTCTCACAATGTTACTGGGCCCGCTTGAGCAAATTGATGAACAACGGGAGGACAGTGACAGTGATAGTTTCAGCTTGAAGATAACCTAGAGGGGATATTTTAGCTGTATAGTGAATTTTAGCAAGTACTGTTTTAGCAGGTACAGTGAATATAGCTTTTTCCTAAGCAGACCTTCATATTTCACTTTATATAGGCTTACATTTAAGGACATATATAAAATTATATGAAATCCACTTTGGTTTTTATGGCCCTAGTTTAATTTGGAGTTCAAATGATATTATCAGAATCCATCTCCTAGCATTCCTTTTAGGTTGACCTCCTGGTGGATTTTCAAGCTCAACATAATACCTAAACTAATCACTGTGTGTCAGGTAAAATACCTGCATTGGATCAGCCTACATCCTTCCTGCAATGTGCATGTGGGGCCAGAATAACCTCAATAATGAACTAAAACTAGCATGTTTTAGTTCTCCAAAAATAAAGAGACTGAACACTTGGTATAAAAAATATCAGATGACTGCTATAGTAAGTATTTATTTATTAGATTACTTTGCTTAAAATGTATCCTCAAGGAGCAAACGTAAAACTTTCAGGAGAGATCAAGCATTGAAACTAGAGAAAGACCATGTGTCACACCACAAACTTTAGTTTCATTCCCTGTTACTATCCCACTGTGTTTTTCTTTGTGATAATTAGGGTTATTTTGTATACATGTGGTTTGTGGGTGCTTAAATGCTCAGTTGCAGAACTCCTGGGGCTCACACATTTTATTTGCTAATTGCAGTACTCTAGAAGGGAATACACATTGTGTCTCTGAGGATCCTACTTTTAGTGTCACTAGGCTTGTGTTCAACAAGTGGGATTGTACTTGGGATCAGGTTTCATATCTGTAAGAAATTGCTCTACCAGGTCTGATAATTTGACCAACCAGGCTGGCAGTTCAGTGTTAGAGCCCTATGATGCCAGGGTACATGGGCTATGTCAGTGGTGCTGGAGACCTCTCAGGCCATACCTGGCAGTACTGGAGACCCCCAGAGCTATATTGGTAATGATCACATGGCACTCAGAATTGAACCTCGGTTGATCACAGGCTAGGTGTGTAACCTAACTGCGATATTATTACTGGCCCCAATAATAAAATGTTTTAAACCATACAATGAGAAGGCATTAACATTAACATTAGCGTAACTTGCCTTAGAAATTTTGAAAGATCCCTTTAACCTACAAGTTAAATTTAAATTGGAGCTGAGAGAAGAACTGGGTAGCTCTTCACTTAAGGTCAATTTCTCCTTAAAGTCAACCATTCTTCACCTCTAAATGAAGTGAAAAATGTTGTAACAGGAAAATTGCAAAAGGAGGGTTGGAGCAAGAGGAAAAGGAAACTTTGCTGCTGACTTCAAAGTCAAATGTATGGAGAAAAGTGCATTTTTATACCAAACAAACATTCTTAAGCCATGGAACTTAATGTTGCATTTTCAGCGGGGAAGTTGAGTTATTTCAAAATTGGAACTGGTTAGAATTAGTTACCCTGGAATAGCAATATTTTGTTTTATCCCACTTAAATGTCCAACACCATTCTGAGTCTTTCCCATATATCTGCTCGTTTGTATTCTCTTAACATTTGTGTGTTGATGCTAAGCCAGCACATTAGGACGAGCCTCTGAACGCTGCCCTACAAGCAGGAAGCAGAACCAAGGCCCCACTTTGTTTTGTTTTGTTTTGTTATTTTGGTTTTTTGTTTTTCTTTTTATTTTTTAATTTTTATTAGTGAAATACCATGAGTTGTAGACTTACAAGATTTTGGGTTTCAGTTATACAGTGATTGAGTACGCATTCCTCCACCAGTGCCCATTTCCACCACCACTTATCCTAGTATCCCTCCCACCTACCCCCCATTCCCCCCATCTTATTCTGTCTCTGTGGCAGGGCATTCCCTTTTGTTCTCTCCTTTTGGGTGCTGAGGTTTGCTAAAGAGGCATTGAGTAGCAATCATGTTCGGTCTATAGTCTACTTTCAGCATGCATCTCCCATCCTGGGAGGATCCTCCCAACACCCTTTTACTTGGTGTTCCCTTCTCTATCTGAGCTGCCTGTTTCCCTAGCATGTGCGACTGGCCTTCAAGCCATGAAGTGAACCTCCCGGTACTTATCTCGACTATTCTTGGATGTTAGTCTCCTATTTTATTACTTTATATTCCCCAGATGAATGCAATCTTTCTATGTCTGTCCCTCTCTTACTCATTTCACTTAGCGTGATATTTTCCATGTAGTACCACTTGTATGTAAATTTCATGACTTCATCTTTTCTAACAGCTGCGTAGTATTCCATTTTGTAGATGTACCAAAGTTTCAAAAGAAATAGTGACCAAAATGCAAAGACAGTCTACAGAATGGGAAAGGATATTCACCCAATACCTATCCAACAAGGGGTTGATATTAAGGATATACAAAGCACAGGTTGAACACCACAAGAAGAAAACATTTAACCCCATTATAAAATGGGGTGATGAAATGAACAGAAACTTTCTCAAAGAAGAAATTCGAATGATGTAGAGAAAATGCTCTACATCACTAATCATCAGGGAGATACAGATCAAAACAACAATGAGATACCATCTCACACCACAGAGACTGGCCCACATCCAAAAGAACAAAAGCAACCAGTGTTGGCACAGATGTGGTGAGAAAGGGACCCTCCTCACTGCTGGTGAGAATGCCAA